ATATCACTTAAGATAACAAATGGAAGATTTTAATAATCACATTACTAAATTTTGATCCCTGAAATCCTTGGTAATACAAATGTTCACTTTGTCTGGTTTTGTTGCAGCATGCCCCATATGACACTGCGCAATGTGCGGTGTAGCCATTACAATAATATAGAAAGATGATTGTTGGTCGTGATGTAATATTCAGCACATCACATGACCTCCGTAGTAAATTCGTTCTAATTGGTCAATATTAACCGGGTAATTGATAGGTCCAAGATTTACTATCTCACAATATCTCACAATCAGGATGGATGATTATTAGAGATACAGTTATTAATAAATTGACATCCGAAAAAATCTTGAATATCACATTTTTAGATTTATTAGATAATATTGTGCCAGCAACATTGGTCATTTATGCAATTTTATTTCGTGAAGGTCATTTTGAAGAATATTTGGAAACAATCTTTTAACTTTGGACTATTATGAAACGATTTGGGAGAAAAAATTATGATAAAATAATGATAGCTTTTATCTCTGATGTTCTTTATTGGCAAAGCATTGAACATCCTATGTACAATATTTTATCTGAAAATTTACATGAATTTAATGAATATTTTGTAGAAAATTTTCATAGCCTAATTTGTCGACATACTGTGGGTAAAAATTATAACCCAGAAGGATTGAGGCATGATGCAATATCTATTGATGATATTAAGCATATTACGAAAATAGTTGTAACACGGATAAAATAATACTAAATTAATAAAATAAGGTTATAAAATTAGAAATAACTAAAATATAATAATAATAAAAATTAAGAATTTCGGAATTAGTTAAATTCGGCCAAAAGAGCGTCCAAATCTAATTCCGGTAACAATTGCTTAAATATAATGTAGATACATTTGGAAAATTCATGCAAGGTGTCACTAGAGATTATGAGGAACAGGTTAATGCAAATAAGAAATTGCGATTTGAGATTGAGAAAATGAAGTTGCAACTGCAGGAGGCGGAAGATACGTTATTCAAGCTTAGCGAAGCTAGTTTCACTAAAAATTCTCGATAATAATGTATATCTTTATTGTGCAGTTAATGACTTGATCTCTTTTCCAACTCTAGAGGGTTCATCCAACCGACTATAATGGACATAGGATCAGAGATTGGTACAGTGGTGTCGAAGACAATAAATTCATGATTTCGCAAATAGTTATTGATAACTCTAGAAGCTTTGCGTGGATCTTCTTCTATGTATTGTCTTATAATTCGTGCAATACACAGTGAAACTTGATTTAGCGGATTCCGATTTAGTGGATTTAAGGGTTTAATGGATAAATTTCGGAACAGAATTTTTTTATAGTTATTATTATTTTAACTTGATTTAACGGATTTGGCGGATTTTTATATATTAGTCATGTGACACTTCCCCTGAGGCTGCTTTTCTATATTATTATTATTGTTGGTTATATATACTATAATAAATAATAATACTGATGAAAAATTAAAAAAAAATTAAAAAAGTCATCAATAATAAAATTAAAAAATTTAAAATGAAAAATCATAATAAAAATAATAAAAAAATTTCCTTATGATTCATGTCAAAAACGTTTTACTACTACCCTAACTTTCAAGAATTTGTCAATGCTAAAAAGTTATTTGTGGTCAAATTATTTCACTCGGAGTCAATTATCAAGTGTTTGGGCAAAGTTATTATGTTTTATGAAAAATGTGGGCAAGGACATTCATGGGTAGAAAAGC